TCACACGCTGCAGCCCCTGCCCGGGATGGGGTCACGTCCTGCATCCCCTGCCCGGGATGGGGTCACGTCCTGCATCCCCTGCCCGGGGTAGGTTCCCACATCGTTCTGTGCATTTCTGTGTCCCTGTGGGTGACAGGGCTGGTGGCTGCACTCGAGAGCAGGAGGCATGGGAGGTTGTTATCCACTCTTTTTTTTTTTTTGTGGTTTTGAGTGTTTGAGATGGAAGATACTGTCCCGCAAAAGGACAAATCTGTGGGAGTAACATCCTCCCACCTGCTTTTGCAGATTTGGCCTTTAAAATGCCGAGCACCTAAAGCAATGGAGTCACCGGGCGCCCTGCGCACCCGCGGATGGGTCCGGCTGTCTCTGGCGACTGGAGTGTGGTCTGGTGGGCGTCAGGGCTGGTGGGGGACAGGGCTGGCACCCCTCTCCCCCCCGCGCAGCTCCCCTGCCGCCTCCTCGCGTGAGAGCCTCCCGTAACGCCGGGGCAGAGCGTGCCGGCAGCTGTGTTTAACAGGTAGGGCAGGTATGGGGAAACGCTGAGGGCCCTGCGCTCGCCGCAGAGCGCCTTCCCACCTGCGAGCCCTGATCAAACACCTCGACGGGCGGCCCGAGTGGGAGCCATGATGTAATCTTGGGAACCCAAAACAATCGGCCCTTTCATGGCAAGACGATAACAATCAAAACAGTATGTAAGGGCCTGCCATGCAAGAATACACATGCACATTATACACTGGAGGGAATTGAAAGCCGTAGTGAAAAGGGGCTTGTTAAGAATATGTAGCCTGCTTTCATAATCAGTTTGTAAAAGAATAGGCCCTTGAAAACAAGGGTTTAGGCTTATAGAAGGCTTTCTGTGCCTTGACCTTGCAAATATGCAGAGATGCCAACTTTTTTTTGCAAGTGAACTTGGAGTCTCCCAGCGTGGTGCCATTGCAGTTGGCAGGCGAGCTGGGGGTAGGAGGTCCAGCCCCGGTACGTTCCTGGGGGACGCAGAGTCTTTCTCTCTCACCACGAGGAGCTGGTCCTCGGCGGAGCTCTGCCAGGATGCCACAGTTTTACCTTTTCTTCCTTAAAACCGTAGCGCTGGGCTCTGCTGCAGAAGAGGATGAGCCAACACGAGGGCAGACCCATCCCAGCATCACCACTGGTGCTCTGCAGAGCTCTCGTGTAGATGGCACGTGTCCTAGTCACCTTTCTGTTCCCAGATCGAGAAGGTTATGGAGGACATCACTGTCCTCACCACCATTTTACAGATGGGGAAGTTGAAGCAGAGAGCTGGGCAAGGTAACCTGTCCAACGCGTCTTGGCTCTCATCCTCGATGCTTCCAAGGACACCTGAGTCCACTGTACCTGAGCAGCAGAGACACCCGAGTGACATTCCCACATTGGCCAGGGTACTGGTGGCAGAGCTGCGTCCCCAGGCAGAGCCTGGTGTGATTTCCACTGGGCTGCTCTTCCTTTATGTCAACGCTCGTTTGTCAGTTGGGGATGAGCCATTGGTTATCATCTTTGTCTGCAACGTGTCTTCTACCTGGATACGGGTGACCCATCGGACCAGATGGGATCTGCTTCTCTATCGGTTATTCCCCACCTTCCTCGCTTTGGAGACCCTCATGTCTCTAAACATTCCGTTCTGATGGTGGTCCCTCTGGCTACGTCGGCTCATCTCCCCATTGTCGCCCCCTCTGTGTCCCGTAGCCCACCGTGGGCACCCGCAGCTTCGGCTCCCCTGGGCCAGGCTGCTCCAGTCTGTCTTTGTGCATCGGTTTTACAATGAGCTTCTTTGCCGTCGGGGGAAGCCTTCCAAGAATCCCCACCTATTTCCGTAATAAGGACACCTTTGTTTTCCTCGTACACAATGCAGCTTTGATTCGGTTGCTTTCTCACCAACCGTGTTGCCGTCAGCTCGACACGGGAGCTGCGGAGAAGGTGTGAGGTGTGCACGGCGCGGCGGCCAAGGGGGAGAGGAATGTCCCATGGGATGGGTTTATTTCACAGTCGAGGCATCGCAAGTAAATCTGCTTTACTCAGCACCCGGACATCTCCCGAGACGCTGCGTTGGGCAAACAGAGGTGTCCCCTGAGCTGCGAGTGGAGGTCCCCTTCGTGCGGTGAACCGAGGCAAAGCAAATAGGAAGGCTTATGTGTTCCTGGCCTCCATGTTGTCACCGCGTTGTCCTCAGCCTGATGAGATTAGTGTCCCTGGGAAAGGCTCAAAAAGCCCCAAAGTCCAAGAAGTGTTGAGGCAGAGCTGCGGTGGGAGGAAGCGTTGAAGGAACAAGCAGTCCTAGGGGTGGGAGACCATGGTCTGGCCGAGCAGATGACCTCTGTGGGGACCAGGAGGGACCGGAGTGCAGGAGATGACCACGGGCACACGTTGCCGCCTCC